TAGCTCCGTGATTGGTAACGGAGGGCTGGCTGACAGAGGTGATAGCTAGGTAATAGACACCAGACAGATGACATAGACTGGAGGCAAGTCAACGTGTGACATCTTAGATAAAAAGATTCGAGGAAAGTAGGCAGGTAGAAATAGACTTAGAGATGGTGGAGAGGTAACTAGTGGATACCTGTGTACCTACATAGAGGACAGATTAGACCTCAGGAGTAGATGGATCAGACAGATGCTTCCACCTATAGACAGTGAGGTGACAGGTGGGGGCGAGTCTGGGACAGTGACCCTGGGTCAGCGCACAGGACAGGAAGTTGTGAAGGCCTCCGACCTGGTTCCACACGTGGCCACAGATGGCCCTATATCCGGGAAACACTGCCAGGCTGGTGCTCACTAATGAAGATGGCGGCAGGCTGCCCCTGTGACTGTGGACTCCGTCTTCAGCTTCTCCGCATCTGCTTCCTAAACTATTAGGGGCAACAAGGGGCTGGGCCGGAGTGGGGCCTGCTCTTGCAGAGCTCTGGGAGCTCCAGCATGGTGGAGCCGCGCGTGTGCCCTGCAGCGGGGAGTGGGCTGGATTCAGAGGGTGCACTGTCACTTCTGGAGACTCAGTGTCTTGTGTGTGGCCTGGGGGGGTCTCTCTTGAGCACGGTGCGCGTGGGCATGGGCAGGCTTCTCCAGCGTGCGCTCACTCTGCTCCCGGCAGGACCCTCCTGAGTCCTGCTCCGTTGTTACTCCTGGAATCCTGTCTCCTTCAGGGTCCTGCAGCCCCACCCTGAACGCCCTTGGTGCCCAGGCCCCCCAGGCCCTGCCCATTCCAAGCCCCATGAGCCCGGGGAAGGGCGTTTGAAGTGAGAGCTACGACCATGTCTGTTGTCAGGGCTCCAGAGAGCAGAACCCAGTGTGCACGGAGACTTATTTCCAGGAATCGCCTCGTGGTTTGGGGAACTGGCCAGTCTGGAAGCTGCAGGCTGGAGATGGGGACGCCGATGCTGCAGCTTGAGCCAAAGACCTCGGAGCCACCACTCCTTCCTGCTCGGGGACCTCCGTCTTTTCCCCTGAGGCCGTAACTGATGGGCCCAGGCCCACCACATTTTGGTGGGTGATCTGTTCTGTGCAGTCCTGAAATGTCTTAGTTGAAATGTCGATCCCAGCCGCAGAAGGCCTTGCAGGATAAGACAAAGGGTGGCCAGGGGTTGGGACGACCCCCTTGACACTCTCCGTCTAGAATCCAGTTTCCTACACACCCAGGCTTCTGGCTGTGCTCGATGGCACCAGGATTCTATATGAGACTCAGAAATACTGTGGTCGCAAAGGATACCCCCTGGTGGGCTTGGACTGGGCCTGTGGGTTCCAGAGTCCAAATGGAGAGGAGCACCTAGGAAACTAGTCAGACCTCTTAATTTTTTAAATTATTATTCTTATTTACGTATGACAGCAGAGTGCATTGCAATTACACATATACAGCATTTACAGCACATTTGTTTTTTTTTTGTATCTCTGGCCGTATACAGAGTATATTCACACCAATTCGTGTCTACAGGTTTTCTGAGGAATCTCCAAACTTTCCAGAGTGGTTGCACCAGTTTGCAATCCCACCGGCAATGTGTGGGCGTGCCTTTCCCCCCACATCCTCGCCAACACTTATTGTTGCTTGTATTCTGGATGATTGCCTTTCTGAGTGGAGGGAGCTGGAATCTCAGTGTAGTGTTAATTTGCATTTCTATAATTGCTGGTGATGTTGAACATTTTTTCATATATTTGTTGGTCATTCATATTTCTTCTTCTGTGAGGTGTCTGTTCAGTTCTTTGCCCATTTATTGATTAGGTTATTTGTGTGTGTGTGTGTGTGTGTGCGCTAACTTTTTTGAGTTCTTTATATATCCTGGAAATTGATGCTCTATGGGTGCAGTGGCAAAGATTTTCTCCCATTCTGTAGGCTCTCTCTTCACATTCTTGATTGTTTCCTTTGTTGTGAAGAAGCTTTTTAGTTTGATGCTATCCTGTTTATTAATTTTTGTTTTTAATTTTACTTCTTGTGCTTTAAGAGTCTTATTGAGGAATTTGATTCCTAGGCCCACACGATGGAGAGCTGGGCCTACTTTTCTTCCTAGTAGACACAGGGTCTCTGGTCTAACCCTAGGTCCTTGATCCACTTTGAGTTTCTCCACACTCTTAAATCATTCGGTAGGGTCTTCTGAATTAAGGATTCTGTTTTTAAGGATATCCACTTTGTCACCCTTTGTCACCTTCCTGTAGTCAGATTACGCTCTTGTCATTCTCTGGGCTTGAATTCTGGCTCCAACCCCATTCGATGAGGGCTAGTGTCCTGGTTTCCAAGGGCACTTTCTTTCTTCTGCAGGATTTAGAGAGCTGGGTCTCCCTGCTGTTTCTTTCTTTTTCTTTTTAACCTAACACTAATGTTGACTGTTTAACGCAGAATCAAGACTCACACACAACATCAGGGCTCTCCCTTTTCTTCCACTGGCCGTTGGGACATGGCTCAGGGGTCCCTGCTGCATGGAGCTCCTGTCTTGGGCACCTGGTATTACCCCCCAACCCTCCCGTGCCCCACGCAGTGGCAAACCCAGAGCAGTGGGGACTAGCCGGCCACAGCCAGCCCCGGGGGTCTGCTTCCTGTCTGGCTTCTTGTCTGCAGTTTTTTTCCCTCTCTCCAGAACCTTCTAACTTCATTGTCAACTCGCTGCACGTAAGAAAAGTCAGCAAATACTTGAACTTATGAGCTGTTCTCAGTCAGAAGAGTTAGTGCGTCTATTCCATTGTGTTTCCAGAAATAATAGCAAGCTGCCTCCTCGTGTCGGGGGCTTGGGGAGGGGGTAAATGAGTGGGTTCAATGTGCCATTTTGAAGGCAGAAAAAATAAAGTGATTCGTGACTCTGGTGCGAGTTGGGACTTTTTGTTCATCAATGATTGTGTCTCGCATTGCAGTAAGTTGGCTAAATGCTTATCCCTTGTGGTTTAGATGGCCCCCAAAGCTCATGTGTGAGACAATGCAAGAGCATTCAGAGGTGAGATGGTCAGATACCAGTGGATCAGTCCACTGATGCGGACTAACTGGGTGGTGACCATAGGCAGATGTGAGTGGCTGGAGGAGGTGGGTCCCTGGGGCAGTGCCTTTGGGGTTTATATTTTGTCCCTGCTGAATGGAGCTCAGAGACAGAATAATTGCCTATTAGGAGCAAGGCCCTGGTTCCATACCCGGCACCAAAAAACCAATGAATGAATGGATGGATTAAAAGTTCAAAATGGAGGTAGTAAGTAGTCAATCTACTTATGTGCTTACCTTGGAGATGAGGAAGACATACACACAGCAGCTAGTGCAGAGCTGGCTCTCAATCAATGACCAGTACGATCGATCGCAGAGGATGGAATTCCCTGGCGGCAAGGCATGTCCCAGGCCTTTGCATGGGTCCGCGTCTCCATTCAGCAAAGCGGCTGCCACAGCTCCCTCACTCTGCAGGGAGAAGAGCTGGGGAGCCAGGCGCCAGGCCCCTGGCTGCTTGTGTCCCAGCAGACTCTGCCCACCCTTCTCTCACCAGACCTCAGAAGCATCCTTGCCGTCACCTTCAGCTGCCTGGCCATCGTCCTCCTCCTCATCTGTGTCTTCCTGGTGGACCGGTGGACACGGCAAGGTGAGCTGGAGGCCGCTCTGCCAGGCCAGGGTGGGGACGATAAGAAGGCGTACTCAGGAGGGGACCCCTCCCTCTGCTCTTTTCAGACTCGTCGGACGGAGACTCCTCCAAGAGGTAGATGGACACAAGCCCCCGGACAAGGCCTGTACCCCACCCCTTTCTTCAGAGACCCCGTTTGCACCACAGGGATTGGCGTCCAGCCCACCCAAACCCCACCCCAGCCCACTGTGTGCCTTTCCCCTGACCTCTCCAAAGCCCGTCTCTCTCCCCCCAGAAGCAGCCATTCCAAATGTGACAAGCAGGAGACTTCAGGTGAGTGACACAGAGATGGGTAAAAACCATGGAGAGAAAAACCGAATGCCTGAAAATTGATATTCTCTCTCTCTCTCTCCTACAGATTTCGCTCACCTGGAAAATTCACCTGTCCCCGTGAGTGTCCCCCTCAGGAATTCCCAGAAGCTCACTCACTGCCAGTGTGGGTCACGTCTGCCCCCTGGTGTACCCCACTCTCTGCTTTATGATGCCCCAACTCACCCAGGTGGCAGGAGGCCAGCTGGCATGGTGTTCACCCCGTGAGCCTGAGCCCAGAGCTGTGGGTTCCATCCAGGGTGCCCCTGTTCACCACCCACGTGGTCTTAGAGTGATCACGGGATCCCCAGGGGTTGGGCTTCACTCCGGTCCCCATACCTGGTGGATATTGCACCCCCATTTTAGAAGGCCTGGGGGACCCAGCAGGATCGCAGACGTCAGGTTGTCAGGGTCTCTGTCCCGGGGTAGGTATCCCAGCCTCACAGAACCCACGGTTGGTCTGCTGTGCGGTTTTGTTTTCTCCTTTTCTGTTCTGATCTGTTCTATTTGCCATGTTCAAATTTTGGCATTGAACAGATAGTTGGAGGTAGAATCATTGTAATGATGCAATATTTCACAGCCAGTGGCTGCAGAGGAGCGGTTCCTCTCCTGGGCCTTTGCGGCAGTCCCTGTGAGCGTGGGCAGGACACCCCAGCTCCTGGAGCACAGCTCGGAGTGGGCCGTCCAGCTGAACCGGCACCATGTCTGTTCTTCTGCTCTGTCTCATGCAACCAGCACCAGTGCATGTGGCCCCTGAGCAGGCGAAATGCAGCCAGTGGCACCGAGGTCCTGAATTTCAATGCAACTTAGATTAATGTGGATTTAAGTAGCCCTCTGTGGCTAGGGACTGCCACATTGGACCACCAGGCGCTACAGACCCTCCGTATCCGTCTCCAGGAAGTGACCCATGTTGAGCTGAACGCTGACATACCCTCCGAGGTGGCTTCTGTCCCCGCTGAGGTGCCCCCAGCATCTCGAGAAGGTGCAGAGCTGGAAGTGTAGAAGAGGGGGACGCGCCGGGGGTGGGATTAGGAGCACTGTGGTGATTGGGAATGCGAAAATCCACTTGTCCCTGCGGCCCTTGCTCGTAGCCACATCAATAAAAGAAGTTTCTCATCTCAGAAGGATCTGGCTTCTTTGTGGATTATCAAGACCAACAACTGGACCCCACTATCTCTGCCCACAGTTCTCCCTTGACCAATTCAAGGAAATAACCAAAAACCACTGACCCACTGTCAGCAAATAATCAGTGATCACCTCCAGGAGAAACGGGGAGAAGAAAACGGTCAAAGGGATTCAGCTCAGTTCCGTGGCCTGTTTTACCCAATGAGCGGAAGATAGAGGGTTCAACTGTGCGTATTACTGACAATTCTGCAAAGGTAGAATGGATGGGCAGGTCACAGATCTAAGGGCTCGGTCATAACTGAATGGTCTTACTTTTTTTTTAATTTGCTTTTGCTTTTCTGAGACAGGCTCTTGCTGTGTTGCCCAGGCTGGCCTCTAAGTCCTGGGCCCAAGTGGTCCTCCCACCTCAGCCTCCTGAGAGAATGGTCTCTCCATGTAAACTCAGTATGTTCAATGGAGAGGGAAGACCAGATGATTTAAAGTATATGTAAATGTTCCAATCAGCTTTCGGAGAGTGTCTAAAAGGGGCAGCGAGGCCAGGGACATCTGCCGCACCTTGCTCCATTGGCTCAGGAGATAACAACAAAGACATGACATTTCTCCTCTGGCTTCCACACCTCTCAAACACTCCTGGATGGGTGTCCGTGAAAAGCAGAGTGTGACGTCAGCAGGACCTCACAGCCACCAGGGGGTCCGTGGTGGCACCTCAGGAGGAGAGTCATCTCAGAGGCCATCTTGCCCAACACTTTGCTCAGGTCCCGGGTGACAGGTGCCAGGGCTGGTGATCTGAGTCAGGATTGTTCTTCCAGAGTCCAGCAGGTACCAGCGGCAGACTCAGCTCAGAGCCCTGACCCGCTGACTCTGCACCAGAGGACAGAAACCGTGGCCCGAGCAGGACCGGAGTGGTGCTGTCAGCTCTGGCCACGGGGCCTCCTCGAGGCCAGGCGGCTGGGCCATCGTAGCTCCAGCACAGGTGGCTGTGCTCAGATGAAACTGGATCGACCGAAACAAGCCAGGGCGCGTTTGCCAGTCCCTGTCCCGGGCCGCGGCTTCTGCCAGTCCGACTTATCAGAGTAGGAACTGGAATGGGCAGAAACACGGGCTCAGTGCACAGGGAACTCTGCGTCCACATTCTCCATTTTCAGAATGAGAGATCCTGCAGGATGGGAGAGCACCCAGTCCTCCCGCCTTGGACACCCTCCTGCAGCAGGGTGTAGGTCTCCTAAGAGCCAGCATCTCCCCGGAGAAAGGCCCCGCTGGCCCAGGGGCCTGGGAGGCGCCTGTTTCCGGGGAAGCTTGCGGCTTGTGTCTCAGAGTAAGGAGCCGAGCTCAGGGAAGGGTCAAAGGAGCCTGGAAGAAGAGACCCTGGAGGCACAGCCACCGCGCAGGCTGTGGTCTGCCCTGGCAAAGCTCGTGTTGAAATTCAATTACGAATGTGGGGGTCTGCAGCGTGTGGGCCCCCAAGTGGTGGGCTCCACCTTCACAGGGCTCCACCTCCCTGAGCAGATCAGCACAGAGTGGGTGAGCCACTGTGACAGTGAGTGGCCATGGGCGTGTCCCCCTTCATCCCTCCTCTCTCCCACACGTGCCCACTCACAGTCACACATACCCTCCTCCCACAGGATGCTGTCCGCCAGGTTACCATGCAGCACGAGGCCCTCGCCAAGGGGGACACCGGGTCTTGAACCCCCAGCCTCCAGAACAGGAGCTAAATAAACCTCTTAACTTTATAAATTACCCAGGCTCAAGTGCTCTATTAGAGGAATAAAAAACAGACGGAGACAATGAATATGTGTATATGTGTGTGTGTGTGCACTGTGGGCCACACTGAGGGTTGGGAGTTTGGGGGAACAAGGACATTCAGTGTGTGGACATGCCCAGTGAGAGCCACTCAGAGCCCTGACACATGGCACACACACCAGCACACACTGTGGTAGGTTGAGTCCGTCTGCTGAGTCCTGGCCCCCAGAACCTCAGGTGGGGCCTGTTTGGAGATGGGGCCATACTGGAGTGGGGGCTCCTCATCCCACAGGCCTTGTGTCCCTATGCAAAGGGGAGTTTGGACGCAGAGATGTGCATGTGGGGAGCCTGCGTAAAGGTGAAGGCAGAAGTAGAGGGTCTGCCTGAAAGCCAGCCAAGCTCACCATGGAGCCCCGGAACGGAGGCAGGCCTGGAGCAGACTCTCCCCAGGGCCCTGAAGGAGCCAGCCCTGCGACAGCTGGTCTCAGGGTTCTGGCTTCCAGAACCGAGAGACGATGAGCTTCTGCCTCAGCTGCCCAGAGAGCTGGACCTGGTCATGGTGGCACGAGTGACACTGTGTTCTACATGAGGCGGCTGCACACCCAGTGCAGGCGGCTGCACTCCCGGCACAGCAGCATCCTGGCTGAGCCACGCTGTCCCCCACACGCACAGACACAAGCACACGTGCACACGCAGAGGCGGCAGCACACACATCCTGAGCCCCACGGTCCCCGAAGTCGGGGCCCTAGTGTTTCCAGGACAGGCGCCCAGCATGCACCCCCTAGGCCTCCCCAGGAGGGAGCGCGGGTCCTTTCCCTGCTGGAGCAAAGCTCCTGGGACTGGGTGGCTTGTGTCAAGTGACTCCTGTGCACGGCCTGGAGACCAGGGTCTGAGAAGGAGGCGGCAGGCTCAGGTCTGGGGAGGCCGCTTCCTGCCTCCCAGATGGCGGCTTCTCCTCCATCCTCACCGGTAGAGGATGAGGGCGCCCCGGGGCCTCTTCACAAGGACACGACCCATCAGCTCCCAAAGGCCACACTTCCTCACGCTGTCACAGCGGGCTGAGGCCCACCACATGGATCTGGGGACACGCAGTGGGTCCACAGCACCCACGCAGCTGGTCCTGCCGCCTGTCGCAGAAGCTCCAGGAAGTCAGGGTCTGAAGGGCATCCCCACCCTCCCGTCCTCTCTGTCCCCACCCCCAGCCCAGCTGACAGAGAGCCCAAGTTCCACGGGAACAGCAGGGCCGGGGAGGGGTGTTCCCTGCTCCTCTCGTCGCACATGGTCCTGGGCTTTAAAACGGGGAGCCCTCGGTGGCCATCTGTCCCGCCATGTGGAGGAAGCCGCTGTTGGTGACTCAGAGAACACGGGAGACGGGCGGGGGAGACGGTGCCTTCAACTTGGCTCCCCTGTTCTGATGGCTTCCAAAGTCGGCATCCTCCCCTCAGCTTCCTCCTCTGCGGCTCTCTGGGGGGAAGGAAGGAAGTCCTCCCGTCCTGGTGGCGGAGCTGCACTCGTCCCGCGTGGGAGGAGGCACTTCCAAGTGGGGCCTGGAACGGCCTCCTTCCTGCAGCGCACCCTCTGGGCTCCTGTGCTCCCGCCTGCCTGAGAGGCAAGCCCGTGCCATCCCTGGGAGGTGAATCTGCAGCAGATCCTCCGTCCTGGGGCCCTTTGTGTGCAATCCTGGGCTGAGCACCGACAGGGAAGTGGGGGAAAACCAACCCTGCCGGGGGTGCCCACACCGTGGGCTCGCTGGTCAACTCCCCTCTTGCCCGCCAGCCCGGGGCCTCCTCTGACGCCAGTCTCCAGGGTTGGATCAGGCTCCTTAGTCCACTGGAGCTGCCACCATAAAGCACCACACACTGGGTGGCTGGTAAACCACAGAAGTGCATTTCGCACTGCGCTGGAGGCCGGGAGTCTGAGGCCAGGGTGTCAGTGAGGCTAGGTTCTGGCCAGGGCCTCTCAGGGGGCAGACGGCCAACTCCCTGTGTGCTCACAAGGTGGAAGGGGCCAGGGGGCCCCACCCTCAGGACCCACCTCTTCTTACCCTCATATCAGGGGTTACAGTATCAATATGTGAGCTGCAGCAGGGGACACGGGAAACCCAGGCCCAGGATTTGAAGCCCAGTAAATTGAGGACATGGAAAAAAACTTGGAGGTGTTTTTGTGAATGACTTTATTGGGCCCACTTTATTGGGTCATTTAGCAGCAGGACTCAAAGACACACAGGAACGTGTGTGCACAGGGCGGGCGTGAGAGGACATGGTGAAGAGAACGTGTGTGCACAGGGCGGGCGTGAGAGGACATGGTGAGGACGGCCCACTGCAAGCCCTGGAGAGCAGGGACCCAGGACAGGAACCGGGAGAGCAGCAGGTCTGTCTTCAGCCCTGGGCACAGGTCAGGTGGCGCGAAGCTGGGTAGCTCCCTTCAGACCTCCAGGGCTCCGTGCGCCTCCTCGCGGTGGACAGGAAGGTCTCCGAGGGTCCTGCCAGTGGTGTGACCTCTACCTCCCTCTTCCCAGGGCTGGTGTAGTGTGAACAGGTGTCTCAGGATGCGGGACGTTCTGTTTTTCAACAGGGATGAGGGAGAGACCCGAG